GGCGCCGCAAGGGAGGCACAGCGCCGATCCACAAAATCTGCGCGGAACGCGGAACGCTTCATTGTATACCGGCTCCCGTTCCCTCGAGAAGCAAGTCCCCGGGAAGAGGCCCAGACCTCTCACGTAGCCTCGTCTCTATCAGGGAGGCGTCGTGACCAAAGCCGTGTCTGAAAACCAACTCGCGTGTGGCCGAACCTGGCGCCCGGCACACCTCGTAGGGCTCTTCGGTTAGATGGGTCAAGAGGAATTCGGCGGCAGGCTGGAGCTGGCTAGCCGAGCCGACAGGAAAGGACAATGTGACGACGGGGTTGGTGTTTCGAACACTGGGAGAGATGTGTCAATTCGCATGTTTGCGCTGAGCATTGAATCACGCCGCGCTCGCTGGTAAAAAGATTCACGGCTGTAGCTGCAGTGTTTCGATCGATTCACTTCCCGGAGCCGACCTCGAGAACAACATATCTTACAGAAATGTCAGATCTTCTGAAGATGGTGTGGGATTTGGCAATTCGTTTTCAGGATCAAGATTCTTCGCACCTGTAGTAGGTTGTTCCGCGCTCGCTGGTAAAATACTCAGGTCTGCAGCTGCAGTACTCCCATCCAAACACTTGGCGGAATCGATCTTGTGTTACAACCAGACAAATGCATCCTTCGAGTTCCAAACTGATGCCCAGGAAGCTTTCTGTCTGCATTCAGAGCGTTCTTACGCGTGCAAAGATTGGCGGCGCGCAGAGGGGGGTAGGGAGAGGGGGGAAGGCTTCTTAGAAGCACCCCTGCTTCTTAGAAGGCGCGGGCCTTCTCTGTAGATGTAAGGCCAGCGCCTTCTAAGAAGCAGCCTCCTTTCAAGAAGCCTTCCCCCCTCCCCCACCCCCCTTGTCCGCGCCGCCAAAAGGAGCTCTACGAGGTCCCCGGCGGTAACCTGGTTGACGGTTTCCCGCCGGCGCCCAGCTCTCCGACCGCGCCCGGGCGTGACCCAAATGCTCGCTTCGAAACCGAGACGGTCTTCCACTTCGGCCACGGCTTCGGTCACGCTACGTTTTCTGCCGCAGCATCGGGCACGCTTCCGGTCACACGTGCTTTTCGGTCACCTATACCTTTTCGGCCGATGCAGTCGGACTCGATTGGGCAGGACACGCGAGAGGACACAGGACCCTTCCGAGGGCCACACTGCCACCAGTCGCGAGCCGTCTAACGCTCGGACGTTCCCCGTGCACTGTTCGGCCTCTTGCGTGCTAATCTTCGAGAGGCTATCCAGAATGTTCCTCGATGGTCCCCGCCGAGGAAGATGCACACGTCTGAGCGATACCAAGCTAACCGCCCCCCAAAGCCTCGGATGACCAGGCGCCCTGGACGGCGGGAAGGCTTGTGAGGAGGCCCCCTGTCCTTCGTAGGCCTCCCTATGCTTCTGAAGGCCGCCCCCCTCCGCGCCATCCGCCACTTTCGGAGGCAACTCCTGACAATGAGGCCCGCGATGAAGGCGACACTGAGGCTATCAGGCCCGATGAAGGCGCCACTAAGACGGATCAGCCTGGGCCAGGCCCAAGGTTCAGCCCAATGATGCGGGACTGTGCCGGATGATGCCTGCTCTAGGGGAGCAAACAATGACATGAACATAAAAACTCGGAGGTCCGCGCGGATTTCTCGGATCCGCGCTGGAGCCCCCCTCCCTGGATCGCGGAGCGCGCCAGGGGCGGCACCGGCGGAGGCGCCGCCAGGGGGGCCCCAGCGCGGATCCGAGAAACCCGCGCGGACCCCCGAGTTTTTATGTTTATGCCACTTTTCGTTTCCTTATGTTTAGGTCGGGCGTGTCCCCCTACTCGCCATCGCTCGGACGTCCATTCCCCGTGCACTTTTCGGTTTCGTGCGTATATTTTTCGCACGATGCTCCAGGATGTTCCTCGATGGTCCTCGCCGAGGAAAACATGCACACGTCCGAGCGATGCCAGGCCTACAGGCGGATTATGGGCGAAAAATCTAACAAATTCCCAAACATACGCAAAAATGCTCGGTCATGGTCGAACAATCGTCCCCCGATTATTTTTGGCTACCATTTTTAGATATCGCTCCTGTAGAGGGACACGCCTGACTTAACCCTATGTTTTCGATCACGAGTGTACCAGCGCAGATGCTGACTTTCGCCTCCCCGGCGTCTCGAGGAGAGAGCCACGCCGAGTTTCCTGCCGCGCCCCAGGGGGGGCCGCTTGCGGGATGCAGGGCCGGAAAGCACATCCGACGCTTGCCTTAGGTCGGGCGTGTCCCCCTACAGGCGGGGTCTGGACGGAAAAGTAAAAATACTCACATAATGGTCAAGATTAATCACACATGATGGAAAATCGTCCCCAGACTATTTTGAAAAATACTCACAAAATGGACAATAATAATAATCACACATGATGGAAAATCGTACCCGGACTATTTGTTTGAAACTACGTTTGAATATTCCTCCTGCATCGGGACGTGCCCGACTCACCGCTTGCCACCGCTCGGACGCGTGCTTCTTCCC